GGCGCACGCGCCACAGCGAGGGGATAAGGGAGCCCCCGCCTTTATAATCTCCCTAGGTGACTTAAACAGCCCCCATCTTTATAAGCCCTACTTATATCCCTTACTAGCTACTCGCTCGCGACTTCGCTCGCGTTGAAGCCCTTAAATAAATATCTTTCTTAAACTTTTCAACCCTTTACAACACTTTTTTTCCTATTAAAAAATAGCCTATGTCTTTTTTCAGGCTCTAGACTATCTGTGTACCAAATTTCATTGAAACTGGGAACAGAGTTACTTTTGCATATATAATATTAGTATGGAAGTATGGATTACCCAAAGAGCCCCCTTACTAATAATCCCTAGGTCACTCAAACAGTCGTCATCCTTATAATCGCATCAGGGGACCCAAACCCACCCTTAAATTCCCTTGTTGACCCACAGAGCCCGCATCCTTATTTTTTCCCCTAGTGACCCACAGAACTCTCATCCTTACAGTGCTCTTGTTGACCCAAAAAGCCAGCCCCCACAATTATAATCACCACACGTGTAATCCCCCAGTAGCCCCATAGCGCCCCCACCTTGATAATCCCCCTTTTACCCCAAAGAGCCCCTACAATTATAATCAACCGACATGTAATCCCCCAGTAGACCCAAAGAGCCCCCACCTTGATAATCCCCCTTTTAAGCCAAAGAGCACTCACAATTGTAATCACCTCACATTTAATCCCACAGTAGACCCAAAACGCCCCCACCTTGATAATCTCCCTTTTAACCTAAACAGCTCTCGCCCTTATGATCCCCCTGTTGACCCAACAAACACCACCATTATAATCTCGGTGCTGTGTCCGATGTTTAAAAATTGACTCCAACGTCCGCACTCTTAATGTTATTACTAAAGCGCACTAAACTTACAAACCGCATATCAATGATGAAATCTTCAAATACCTAATTTTTGACATAAGAATTCGCCATTTCAAAAGTACAAAACAAGCTGCAAGACTAATATTCTTTCCAATCTGATGCAATCTTTGGTGGTTTCGTAATGAAAATTGCTGCTTTTTTTCCAGATTTTTTTACTGGAGATCACGGAAGATTTGTTCACGAAGTCTGTACGTCGTTCTTACGTCCGAACGGAAAAACTGTTAGGATGATATCGTCGCTATAAGTTCGCATTGTAGATAGTTATTTTATTATTAGGAGCAGCTTATATTTATTTATTTTATGTATGTGCGTGTATATATTTATTTGGGCTTATTATTGAGAGGCCGATAAGTTTATTTTAATAAATCTTTTTGATATTGACCTAAACCCAGAAATTAAGATCTGCGTCTTAATTGTCTGGACGTCATGCTTGTATTATATTTTATCTTTACTTAATGTTTTTTTATTACTTAACTTACTTCTCCTTTTCAACATATATTTATGATCATTAAGTAATGATGACGAGATGCCTTAAGAGTAACGCATTGCGATATGTATAAATAGTAAATGATTAGGGTCATAGGAGCACACCTTTAGAGACCCCTTTTGCATTTCCAATGTCGAGGAAGAAAGTGTAATGCCGTACTGGCTTTTTTGATATGACTTTATTTACAATATCGACATAAAATATTCAACAGTAGTTTTAATACGGAATTTTTGTGATTTATATTGAAAAATCGTTGTATGCCAAGTCAAAAGATTCGCTTATATTTATATATTCGTATAAATGTTTACACCAAATATGGCTAGTCATTACTGGAAGTGATTATAATTAAAGTCATTTTAATTACCTGTCATATTTTATGTGTAGTAAAATAGTATTTCCTTAATTATCGTAGTATCGTTAAAGTAATGCCCGTTTTCACCATCGACCACTTAAAAAAATTTAAGAGCTAGTTTCGTTTCCACCACTGGTTAAGTCACCTAAAGTCTTAAGCGGTACCTTAAAAAAAGGGGTTCGATGTTTGGCCTTTTAGCGCTAAGTGACAGTTTATTTTTTTGTGAGCGTATGTATATAATTTGTCTGTCAAGTTTTGATGATAATGCGTCATACTTTTTTTTAGCAAATAGAGTTTTAAGAATAGAAATATACATTTAAACATGCAATTTCAGCTATAAAAAAATTTAAAAACATTTTTGCACTATTACTGTGTATTTATTTTCGTGTGTTAAAACAGCGTATTTTTACGATTTACCGATTGTAAATCTGTCGCCTATCTATCGGTGAAAATGATTTTAGGTGACGGGCTATCCCTTAGGTTAAGGCACCTTTAGTAAGGGAGCGTTTGAGGGTACAATGGTGAAAGCAGGCATTAGAAAAATTAATTATTAAAAATTACATACATAAAGAGCTTTTTGTCGCCACATTCCTTGTAAACGTTCGCTCGCTTTAATCGTACTCTGTTTTGTCTCTTATATGTATAAATGCTTATATTTCGTTTTATTGTAATTGTAAAATTAAAATTTAATTAATGGATTACCATGTATGCTATGCTTTTAAAAAAATATTATATATTTATGGATTATTTAATAAAATTTAAATATTCGGATTTCTATATTATAATGTTTTTATTAGTGAAATTTGTTAATGGGAAATGAATGAAAAAAGAAATGTGGGAAATTAAATGAAAAACGCATTAAAATGATGTAAACACCTTGAATATTCATAAAATCTGTGTATGAAGTTAAAAACAGCAAATACTCTTAAGATATGTTTTCTCACACATACTTCCTATGATCTGAGGGTGTGTGAAAACTATATGTGTATTCTATATTTATATGAGAAATAACATTTACGCACAACTGCACGTGCTTTATTCTCGTTTGTCCTCATCGAATGGGATAGATATATAAATTTTATATGTAAGCTATAACATTAGCTAAAAAATAATTTTCACCTTAGCTATTGAATTATTAGACTTTAAAAGAGGACGTTACGTGGATGTCCTTTGTATGGGAAAAGTATTGAATCTGGGACTTATATAAATATTTATTTATATGCTGAGACATAATATACTCCGCCATGCGTCAGATGAAGATTTAATAGTCTCGGGACTGAAAGCAAAAAAATCAGTCAATACAAGACATACTCTGCCATAGTGGACTAAAGAATCCATTTTCTAATAGTTACATTTTCTCCGATTGATTCCGAACTCTAACTGAAACGGTCGAAAAGATATATTTCATTGCTACAGAAAGCTGTTTTTAATCTTGGGATATAGCGTATAATATTATAGCCCTAAGTGTGGCAAGTTTCTTGATCGCCATTAAATCAATCGCTACCGCCATCTGTTGGTTGATTTTCGATATTGTTCTCTTCTGGACACGCTCAATATTCTATTCTCCTTATATTTATATTTTTGCTAATTATTTTCTAACATTTATACTGATATACATGTATAGGCTGTTACTTTACTTTTTTTTTATACTGATGAGTATTCAATATTCATCTAATACGCAACTTATGATATTTTCCCGCCTTTTTGGCAGTTAGTCTTGAATTACTTTTGTATATTTCTCTTATTTGTTGTAAACATACTCGTAAAAACTACGGCATTTGTAAGTAACTATAAGAGAAGAACAATGTTACTTAATGTGAAATGATGTTATAAGTTCTGCATTCAATTTGTCGTAACTCATTGCAAATAAGAAAGTGAGGCCAAGAATTTTCTAGTCACTTTTACATCATACTGTAAGATGCCAAATATTTTTGTGGTTTTAGAATCGCATTTCAAATGCATTGAGGTCTTGCTATATATCTATCATTAAATAACTGTTTTGAGGTTATTATGTTATAGAATTTTCAAATTATGTTATGTGTAATAAAATTATTAGTTTCTTAATGTTGCCGAGTACCGATACGTGGTATTTCGTATCATCGTTTATGGGGTAAATGTTATGCTAAACCAATTTTCGGCAGGCTTGTTGTGTGCGGCTAAACTTGACGACAGGTGATGATCCTGTCGCTCGTAGCCGGGTGACGAGCTTGTCGCTTATACGGACAGACTCACTAAAGTGACGTTTTGCAGAGATATATAAAGATATGAAACATTACAATAAGTACATTTCCTTCGTTGCGAGTTATTGTAAGTTAATAATCTTACTATTTAAATGAATATTTGTGGACACATTTTAAACAACGTTTTCTAGTCGCAAACTAGGCAATGCTTTGTACTACGGATACTAGATGCCCGATAAACATACTTTTCTTTTGTAAATAAATACATATTATAAATATACAAAACACCCAAGACACTGGAAAAGCACTATGTTCATCACAAAATATTTTTCCAGTAGTGGGGATCGAACCCACACCCTCTGGCGCAAGAGGCAGGGTCACTATCGACAACGCCAATCGGGTCGTCAAATTATGGTCATATTAGCTTATAATAATTCGTTTATTGGAAAGTACAAAACTTTTTTAGTTGATACGCTTTGTCGTTGAATCAGTTACCCATTGCAAGAAAAGTAATTAGGCCAATAATATCTTATTGTTACTTTGTTTTTAATGTTACTTTTATATGTATTTTGTCCATTGATATGAACAATGTAACGATTTGAGACAAAGGAATTTAGATTAACAAGTGACTTAAAATTGTGCCGAATCCTACTTATTACTTGATCATTTTACGCGTAAATGTTGGTAACATGTTTGTATTATGTAAGCTGTACAAATATATTTATTTAATTTATTGTAATAACAAAGAAATATATGTATATCTATGCGAAAACATCACTGTCGTTTCATAATTATTTTCATTGACCTTATAAAAATATTCTAATATTAAATCATATCAAAACCAATTTATATGAAAGCACGTTGAAGAAAAGGCAGTAATCTCCATGCTTGTATTTAATATATAACCAGAGTCTATATTACATATAACACATTAAACTTAAATGGTAACATTAACTAAAATATATGAAAGAAAAATCAAATGTGACGGCAAATGATCTAAAAACACTTTATCGTTTCAACTTTTTTCGCACCTTCGAATTCCAAATTGTATAGAATGGTAGGAGATCAAGTACCTATATCAAACGTCTGCATGTCTCCTGCCAATGGACAGGTCTATGGGCTGGTCGTGGGCGTCTTCGGGGTGGGGGTCAATGAACTCGTGGGGACTGTACCTCGGCTGGCTGGAGCCGCCGTGGCACACGATGCCGTATAGGGGCACTGGCGGGGCGGCCATCGCGTCGATCGGGTCCGATTTGGCGCCGTGCGCGCGATTGTACTTTGTACCGTTGCGCGAATGCATCCTAGATGGGCGTTTATTTATTATTTACTAGCGACCCGCCCCGGACTCGCACGGTTTTAATGTATTATACATATAAACCTCCCTCTTGAATCACTCTATCTAGTAAGAAAAAACCGCATCAAGATCCGATGCGTAGTTTTAAAGATCTAAGCATACAGGGACAGACAGATAGGGGGACGACTGTTTTATATTATGTAGTGATGTATTAAAAATGAAAGTGTGTAAAAAGGCGGACTTAACGGAAATTATCTTGACGTCAACACTCCGTGTGAATAAGCACATAGATTCGGATCAACTGTGTGGATGAATTGAATGCAAATTCAATTATTTGAAGACAAACATAAATTGTACGTGGACAAGCACCCAGGTGCGAAAAAACAGTCTGTGTGGTCACACAAAGCCGCGCAAACACTCCCACTTAGCCAATACGCTAAAGAGTCATCGCTAAACGGGTATATATTTCCCATGCCTTTTTTTTACATTGTCCTTACTTTAGGATAACATTATCCTGTGTTGTAAGGACATTTTACAAACATAAATTTCATGCGGACAGACACCCAGATGTGAAACAACTACCTGTTGGTAACACAAATTAGTTGTTCCGTGTGGGAATCGAACCCACCACCCACGACCCCCGACGCAGAAGCCAATACCTTGGCAACTGCGCCACGGAGCCATCAAATGCTTATTTACAATAAAGATGCTTTTACAAAATGAGGAAACGGGAGGAGCTTTCACAGGGAGCAATTGTTTCAATTAAACGAAATTAAGCAGAGCCGCCGTACCTGTACTTGCGGCAAGCGTCGTCCCTGTGCCTCTCGAGGTAGCGCCGCTGGCTGAACGCCTTGCCACACTCGCTGCAACGCCACTGCCACGAGTGGTGGCCGCGCGTGCGCTGGTGGGCGCGCAGGTTCGACCTGGTGGACACAACACCCTTACGCAGTCCTTAACGCAGTGGCGGATTTGCCCTAAAGCCTAATAGGCCCGGGCCTAGGGCGGCCAATCGTGACAAAAAATTCATTCATGAAAACAAGATACATGATGGCCGCTGAGAAAGAGGCGGCTGGAACTTACTACATGGGCTGGGGCCTAGGGCGGGCAAGACTACAAATCCCGTGCCTTTACGAGCACAGTACGGACTATTCCACGTGTCGACAGTAAACGAAATGGAACCGTTTATCGTCTATCGGTAAACTACTTCATAAATAAATGATAAAATAAATATTTCAAGACATGTTTTTACACAACGTTATCTAGTTCCAAACTAAACAAGGCTTGTACTATGGATACTAGTTAACTGATAAACATACTTTTCTTTTGTAAAATATAAATACCCAAACACAAGAAAAAGACTGTTCATCTCACAATATTTTTCCAGTAGTGGGGATCGAATCCACTACTGGAAAACCCACGAATCGAGCCCACTACGGCGCAGGAGAAAGATCCACTACGCCAATCGGGTCGTCTAGTAGAAATATTCTTTATATAATACATCGACGACAAGTCATTTTAACCAGTATTTTTATTTGTATTTCGTGTGCAAGAAGTCCGGTCCCAATGACCGCTGTTACCTAGAAAGGTCTATTGTAGTCTTCCCTTCGAAAACATCGCCTCCTTATTTATCCTGTGTCTCACAAAAACAGACTCGAAATATTTATTATTTAATAACCGACAAGACATTTAATTTCTTATAATGATAATCCTTACACTTAAGATCAAACATTAGAATTTGTAGAAAAAGGAAAAAGTTTCTCGCCGCTGCGGAAATCGAACCCACGTCAGGCAAAATTGTTGTGATTGAACATAGAATAAAAATAAATTGTAATAAATGTTATAGCTATATAACGGTCAAGTGCAAGTCTAATTCGTGCACCGAGAGTTCCGTACCGCATTTTACCGCCATAATAATATTTGTATAATTTTTATTTGTGGCTAAGTTTTAAGTGTGGGTCTGTGTGTATGACTGATCGCGATCGTCCGTGTTCATCACATTCAATTACATTTCAATTAATTTTGTCTTTGCTTGAAAAATATATTTTAAAGATTGAATAAAACTCTTTTATCTCGCTCCATCTTGTATAGATTCCTAGAACAGTGAAGCTCTTTGCAGTGACCATGGTCGCGGAACATACTACTTACCCCCTGATTTCCTGATTTTTAACCGACTAGGTTCTCAATTCTACTGTATTTTTTAATCTTACCTCAGAACTTTCGACTGGGTGAGCAGATTTTGATGATTCTTTTTCCGTTTTTGAAAAGTGGAGCAAACTTGATGGTTAATAATCACTGTAGCATATGTATATTTGCAACAGTACAATAGGCCCGCTGCTGAAACGTCCCTCTCCACAATCAACCATTCCACAAATTGGCTGGACAGATCTTTATAGATGGGAGGCACCAACCTGTCCGAGAAGGTCCTTCCGCAGGTAGGCTGTGGGCAGGGGAAGGGCCTCTCGCCCGTGTGGAGGCGCAAGTGGCCCTTGAGGACCCAGGGCCTGTCGAAGCCCTTGCCGCAATAAGAGCAAACGTGGCTCGCCCTAACCCGCCGCTCCGTCCAATCGGGCTTGCTTTGAGCCGGCTGACAATCTTGGTTTGGACGATTAAGTTCCGCTTTAAGTAAAATTGTGTTTATAGGGCTGGTGCGTGATAGTTTCGGTATAGGTTACTCTTCTTTTTCCTGCCTTAATCCCACCTAATTTGTCGACACACTACCGTTAAACTTTATTAATGAAATAATCCACCTAAATCATCTTAAAGCACCAACGGGACTTAGCAACTGTGTCAATGAATCATCAGGCATTGGATGGTTTGTTTAGGAATATAGAATTAAAACGAACTATTTCCCAGTGCGGTAGTGGGCTTTTGGTTGCAATGCTGTTGACTTGGTAGGTATAACTTGCACTATTTGAGTCAACCGTTATGAAGCCTGTGGTAAGATAAGATTTCGGAATAATTCGTTAAGTGCTGTACGTACCTCTTGCAATAAATATTACATGTATTACGTGAAGATCCAAAAGTCAAATTTTCACCACTCCCATGGTTGACTGGAAGAGATTGCTTAATAGCATTAAGTTTGCCTTTTGTTTGGCCTTATTTTGAGGTGTAAACAATAAATTTTTAAATAAATAAAATAGAATAAAGATTGATTGAGATTGAAAGATTTGAAAATGGGTTAAGTACAGCTGACTATGATGAAATTTTTCGACATTGACACAATAACACGAAACGTCAACAATAACTTTGAATTCATGCACAAGTAATACACTTTGCATAGTTACCAAGTTGAAGTTTCCTTACCTTTTAATTCCTCGCTAAGCTTTTCTTCCAATTTCGGAGGCGGCTCCAGATTCTTCTCGTCGAACGATTCTTTGCAATACAACAGCTCCTTGTTCAGCCTCTCGTCAGCATGCGTCTTCACCAGATTCTTCAGTTTCTCAGCAATCTTATCGATCTCCGTGCCCCCTCGGTTGGAACACTTCAGCATTTCCCTATTCTTGATTTCCTCTATGATCGGCGCGAGCGGTTCCTTTCTCAGTTTCTTCTTCTTCACCTCATTTAGCTTCAGCTCGGCGGAGGGATTGAACATCTGCTGTACGTTAGCTACGTTGGAGTTTTTCATCTTCCTCTGCGCTCGGGTCCTCTCCGTGAAGATTTTCCGCTCAGACTTCGATTCCATCGAGCGGAGGTTGTACGTGGACTTGTCGGAGTCCTTTCTGCTTGGGGCGATGGTTCTCTTCGAGTCCGGCGAGTCGTTCGTCCTCTCACTCTCCGAAGCGTAATCATAGGTCTCCGTGTCGACGAAAGAGCTCAGGAACTGGCTCCGTTTCAGCAGCTGCAGGTAGAACCGGGTGGAGATCGGCACCTTGTCGTGGTAGACCGTCTCGTTGCATTTCAAGAGAGTCTTCTGCCGCTTGAAAGCTTGGGGCTTCGGCAGGCGTCCCGGCTTCACGTCACCTGCTGTTAAGCATGTTTTTGTATAATTGAAAGTTTTCATAACGTTTCTTTATAAGCCACTGACTGGTACTTCATTGTTATTCCAAAGGATAGTTAGATGGTAGACGTAGATGGTAAACGCAATAACTCAGAAAAGCAAGTATACTCTTTCCTTGACGGCGCAAGTTATATTCGGACGGAAAGACGACACAAGCAAATTGTTCCTTCGCTGTACGCATAATGAATTACAAAGCAAAGGGCTTGAATCAAATGTATATAATATTGATTATTGTGCTTTACAATTTAAGTCTTAATCTAAAAAAATAATAATATATTGATTATTCACCTAAGATGTGATGTAGCAAAGCATAATGTAATTTATTAAGTCTTTTCAAATCTTACATTATTATTGTGCTTTCTGTCTATGCCTGATTAAAGCTCGCGTGGTTGATATTTTATGCGATATGAATTAGTAATGTATAATCAACAAATGTACCTAATTATATCGAATATATATACATTCATAATTATGAGTTGGTTGAAGAATGTTGAGTTGCGCTGTCCGATTGTCCAATTCAAATGATACTGAATTCTTTTCTGCTAAAATAACTGAAGACTGAAAATATGGACGCTTAATTTTACAAGTGATAATAACAAACAACATGAGAGTTTTACATACTTTTCTAATTTTATATAGACATTAATACGGAAGCTTAGACAGCAGTATACAAAGACAGTTTGAAATAGTAACCTGTGTATGTCAATAAGTGTAATCCTATACGTGTATAGGTGTTTATATCAATCATTTAGGGCAACATTTTTATGGTAAAGTGTAATAATAAACTGGAAAATTGTGCTGGTCACGTATAAAACAGATCGAACAGTCGATGACACTCAAAATACCTACTGATGTAGTTGGCTGAGTGTGAAATTGTTAGTAAGATTAATAATGTACAGATAATATTACACATCTAGGTGGCTACGAACTAAATTTTTAATCATTGGTACATGTGTTCGTTAAGAATATAAACTAAGGTAACGCGAGTAAAACTAAGGTAAATCTTACTGCGAAACCAATGAACGGGAAATTGTTACTTTCATAGTGATATTTCAAATGACGCTTTATAGCCGTATAAAATGGTGTTTTTAATTACGTCCTAAATAATTTAGTTCTGCACAGCAGTACATCTTTAGCTTTATTTTATAAAGAATCGAAAAAAAAAAGTTTATCTGTTAAATATCGTTTGCAGTTCCATTAAAATAAATTACAAACGCAAAATGAAATAATTAATTTTTATCTGAAATGACTATTAAGCAAAATCGCCGCTTTTATGACAGAATGCTCAAAGAAGAAATCCAAACAATGAAACTCACTTTCTACGCAATTATTTCCGTATTCCTGTATGGAACGGAACTGAAGAGGTTTCACAGACTTCAAGAAACACCGAGGCATTTTTCCAGCACTAAAACCTGTTCATTAAAATTATTCAACTCTCTTAAAATTTTAATTAAAGTGCTTTATAAAACTAATACTGTAAAGCACTTGCTATGACGGGTCGGGAAACAAGCGCTAGGCAGTGTTTTTAAATTGACTGTTCGAAATTTAATCCTAATCGGTTGCCAGGCCATTGACAATAAGTGAATAAAACAATTATTTTTCTAAACTATATACATGGATAGCATTAAAAAAACAACTTTAATTAAACACGCGTACTGAGTAAATATTTATAATTGTTTAAAAATGCTTTGTCTCTTGTTGCTAAAAATATAAATTAGAATTTAATTTAAATAAATAATTTTTGTTATTTAAAATAAATGCAATAAAAACTTTTCCATTTAATCAGTTTTCACTTTGCTTTTCTTTTCCAAACGTCATGTTTGGCGTTTAGTACACGTATAAAGTTTAGTAGTTTTTACTTTACACGTATATACTTTATTTATTTATACACGTATATACTTTAGGTATATAGTTATAGTTTAGTAAACGTAGTGATTACATTCTCTCTGTTTAGTATTTAATGCACCTAAGCGGCCTGGCGAAACTTGGTTGAAACTGTATTTGGATCGTTTTCTTTTTTTATCAGTAATTGTGAAACATAGTTAACTGCACCAAAACATTATCAAACAAAAAAATATTAGTGTCTCAAAATTCTTTGCTTGGGTTCGATGGAACATTCAGCCAATGATGTTATATAAAAATAAGAGAAATACAATATTATTAAACATCATTGGTATCTGTTAAGTTTTAGTAAACAAATTAAAATGTTTTTTTTTTTACTTAAACATCCTTTCTTTTTGTATAACCTTGTAGACTTAATAACTAATGATTTGCAACGTCATTTTTTAGAGCATCCTCATACTAAATATTTTTGTGATAGTGACAGACAGGCAGGAGGTTCACACGATGTTAAGTGATTCGCCACTTACCATCAGGTGGGATGGCAGTCAAGTGCAGGCCAGTTTTGAAATAAAAAAAAAGATTACCACTGCCTATGTACAACTACGACACCTATGGGAATTATAAAACTATAACATTATAGACATAAGTAGAACGATACTTCCGCTTCATGCCGGTCGTTAATACAAGAATATACCATTACAAATAACTACATCATATACAATACCATTACAAATAACTACATCTACAACAAACGTTTGGATTGTTAAAAGTTTACATTCATGAAACCATCCGAGGTTTTTTCATTTGTAAATGTATATACAGTACAACAGCTGTATCAAAGTATTATTACGATATTTGACTAGACGAAATTAGTTATTTTTCAGAGCTTGTTTTGAAGTCGACAGATACACTCGCTAGGATTTTCGTCTGGAAATATTTGACCTCAGTGCGGGTCAACGTCCCTTAGATAGTGTAACGACCTATTAATAATAATAAATATTATTATTAATTAGTCATAATAAAGATCAATTAAGATGAAAATAAAACGTTTAAGAACGTTTAATCACAATAAAAGTTAATAATATATACTTAAATTAAAGAAATATAAGTGTTAGTATGAGAAAATGATATTACCAAAAATTGATTAAAAATAGTTAAAAATCACTTAAAATACTCAAAAAAGGATATTTATTAAAAATATAGCAAGATACGATCACTATTATGTCCATTAAATACAATTCCATACTTAGTGATTTCTAAGGGAAGTATTATGTACCGTGCGGGGACACATTTGTATGACCGCACATATGTAAGTACAGAGGTCGATCGCGACTCTTAGTACTATAGTCAAAGTACATTGTATGAACGTCCCATACCAATATCATATGGAAGTAAGGTCTAATGGATAAAAGTAATAATATGTGAAGGCTCAGAGAAAAAATAATAAATATATAAATATAATGAAGAGCAATGAATGACTTGGGACTTTATAAGACATATTACTATGGAGTTGCGTGGTACTTCTGTACGACGATATGGTCTACGGTAAACGTGGAACCATGAATGGATATGTCTTCAGTGGTGGACATATCATCGATAGCTGGTGGTAGTTGGCGTCTTAGTGACCATCACTATGATACGTTGGCTGTCATTCGGCATAGTAAGAGTTTGGTGGTAGTTGGCGTCTTAGTGTGTTGCACTATGATACGTCGACTGATCATCTGACTTTGGGGAGTCTGGTAGTGGCTTGCGTCTTAGTGTATTCCACTATGATACGTTGGCTATTGCTTGACTGGGGTGGGGGTCCGTTGGTGGTTGGCGTCTTAGTGTTTACGCTATGATACGTCGACTATCATTCGGATCGTGAAAGAGTATGTTTGGACACTTCGTGTGTTCCGAGTATATTCTAAACTTTGGAGCCGAAGTTGATTGGAGTTATATTGGTGTGGTGTGAGGGTGTGCCACCTACGCGATAGTCACATTGATGCGTGCGGCTATATGTAGTACTGCGTCTTGTGGTAGTTGCGGGGTGATCTGCGCCTAATATCATTGCATCGTATGATTCTGGTTGACGGAGGTTCGAGGTGATGATGTCTGCTGTGTATGCGGATAGGCTGTATGTTGGCGTGTTTACCTGCGATAGTTGTATTGATGCATGTTGCATTTAGTGACATTGCGTCTTACGACATTTGCTTGGGAGACGACGCTTTTCATAATGGCCGAGTCTGCGTCTCGGTTTGATGCACATCTCAGTAGATTTGTCCAAGTCGGGTTCCTGATGACGGAATTGCAGACTGTCTGACCTCTCTTATACGTTTTAACATGATTAACGAATCTCAGTAAAGTTCCCACCGTTCGAACGAATAATGGCAACTTGCTGGTGGGTGAGACAAACTTGATCGAAACTACACTATACTCAACGTCAGAGACACTGACAAATAAATATATGTTGCCAATTATAAACCCTTCTGATGGCTAACATAAAAATCACAACTATGGCTATATCTGACTATTTCAATGGTTGGTGGAGCATATGCGTTTACCTCATGTGGATGGTAGCTGGCGGGAGAAAACCTCTCAAGGCTGCGGCGATGCCGTGCAACGTTTTAACCATACCCTTGCGGTGATCAGTGACTCATAACGCGCTCTGCGACGAAATGTCGTGCTAACCTTTTTAATGGTGGTGATGCCAAAACACTAACAATCACGTCTGCAGTCGCGGCGGTCTAGCAAAAGTGGTGGCGCTTACGGAGGGCTTATTATATCATAGGGCCAGAGTGCCTGATCTTTAACACATGCCCAAAACCGTATTGACTTACATTCACGAAGACTGGATTTGTCGTTGGCTTGTATGACGTTTACACGCATTGACATGCGCGACTTCGGTCAAAGTTTGTGCTTACGCACTGCCAAGGGGCCAAGCCCTCTTTATGCTGGTAAAACAGCTTTGCAATGGACTTCGGTCCTTTCCCCAACTTTTTGTCCCTCTTCTGGGGGGGGGCGCAATATGTTGGTTGGCGCTCACCGCACACGGCGTTGGTGAGTGTTTTCATGGAGCCGTGTGCCTTCCCTACATTTTTTTAAAATGTGGGGGAGCTGTTGACTTGTATCGGGTATGTAAAATTGATGTGAGCCCTTTTCAAGAGAGAAGGGATATTAGTTTAAAAATTATATTGTGAACCCTTTACAAGCGTGAGAGGGAGTATACTATATACTCTGAGCCCGTCTCAAGCGAGTCGGGATTAGTTAATAAGAAAGCAATCTAACATTATCTCTGGCTTATACCACAACTAGTGAATATTTATCTATCCAAGATGCACCTAAAAGAATCAAGTTACTAAATAAACACAACGTAAATAAGGTCCTACCGAACATGACGATCACAATAATATTTATACGGCTAATTATTACCTTTAGAAAGATCCTATAGAAAGATCAATAATTTATCCTGGTCACGTAATGATGTTATATGATTTATTCATATAATGGGGGAAAAATATATAAGTTTAATTATATATATGCATAATAAAAGAGGGGGGGGTACAGTTACAATAGCAATATGAGGATCGGTCTGTCGATCGCTTTGCGGGGAGACTACTAAGTAATTTAGTTATGAAGAATGGAATGATTGAACGATGAATGTATTGTGATGAATTGATGTATAAGTGAATGTCTATTAGAAGACAATGTGACAATGACGAAAATAATTACGTGATTTTATGTTGATGTCTTACCTACAGAGAGACAGTCTCATTTATGTTACTAGTGACTTATTATGTTCGTGGGACGGCTCGTTAAGGTTAATAGTAGATATGCACATAATTCGCTAATTTTCGGCGTTCAGTCGTCCTCTCGGCCGATATCCGAACTCGACGGCCAGATTCGACGAAAGATGTGGGTTTCGCAAACATTTCTCTGTCTTCCCTTGGTTGTGTACATACATTTTAGTCTTACTATTTACCCGACGACTCGTTTGGAGAACTGTACACCCTCGGCACAAGACTCGATACCCTCTACTGGAAAAATATTGCATACTGAATATTTTCTGGCGTCTGGGTATTTATACTCGTATATGTATAATATGAAGATATTTATAACAGAAAAATGTGTTTCGGTATATGTTTGAACTACTTAGTACCCATACTAAACAAGCTTTTTCTAGTTTGGGACTACATGATAACATAATAATAAAAAAAAAACGAAACCATAATGAGCAAAAGCGCAATAGTTTTCTGGTAAGTAATAGTGAGAAAAGTAATTTTCTTTCATTTAATCTTCTAATAATTATAACTAATAGACCGCAAGTAATACAGTAGCAATCTGTAATTAAATCATTCATGTATTAAAAGCACGATTCGGCTTTACAAAAAGTTTGACGAACATATCGAAAAGCGGATCACTGAATAATCGGAATCTCCCCTCATGACAGTTAAGAGGTATCGTGTCGTGTTTTCATGCAAATCGGGCGGGGGTGTGTTTGGGTCGATCGATTGGACACGGGCGACGCCGCGGGACGCCCTGGCGCTTGTAGCGCGAAAGTGCGCGCGCGGCTCTACGGGGATAAGGAGAGTCAAGCTGGAGTCGGTGTTGCTGCACCGCGATAACTCGCGGCAATCTCGGGAGGTTTTGAAATTATTGGGTTTCCGTTCTTGATATATTGAATGGACGAATGTTTCATTTCAATTCACTTCAAAATATCTTTATTAAATAAGCGCTTGCGCGTTCTTACGAAACGTCCAGTATTACATAAATAATTAATACATAAGTTCGTAAGTAAGTTACCACCGGTTCGGCAGGCAGTTTCTGTTCAAGGCAAGAGTGAATAGGTTTCTACTGCGCTGGCGCGCTTACCATCAACGGCTGCATAGCCACTTACCATCGGGTGGGATGGCAATCAAGTACTAGCCAGTTTTTGAATTAAAAAAAAAAAAGAAGACACCGACAAGAAAGTCAACAGTTGCTTTTAAAAAAAAACATATAAGATACTACACAGAAGAGCTTGTTTGTGCTGTACAAGTAATATTTCTAAGATTTTTCTTAATTTTCAAATATTCAAAACTTTATTCGCTAAATACATTCGATAAAATGTAGATAATGTTAGTTATCTCTGCCTATTCCGTTAAGGTTTTAAGACTATAAAGAGCTTACATGAGTTTCATCAGTGATTTTTATATTATATAATCCATCATAATTAACAATAATATAAAAAACGAATAATATAATCAAGAAAAAAAAGTAGTGATTCTAATTTTAAAATTTTCGCAGCTCGCGACGTAACGTGGACTTAGTGCCGTCCGAAAGGAATGCGTCCCGAATGTGAAAATAATTAACAAATAAAACCAGATTTACTTTGCATTGTTCATCACATACATTATTCTTCCTGCTGATGATATTCATGAATTGAATGAATTCGGGAATTGAAGTTTAAATGAAACGAGAAAAACATAAAATAGACTTTCATTAAATATTTTTTTATATATCAAAATAAACAACAGAATTTTTGAACAGAGTTTTCCATCATTAATGCATCTTTTCAATTTAAGAGATCCAACGGGATCCCCCATTTTCCAATTGCACCTTTTGTTCCAACTTTCCAAATAACAATTTTAGATGCTAAATCTCCATATTCCAAGACTATTCAGGGTTTTGAGTGATCAAGTGAACGTTTACGTGAAAAATTTTACGCCATTTCTATATATATTTATAGCAAATCGTTCATGTCATAATTAGATTAGACTTCAAATATGTAGTATATATTATAAATAGGTAGTTCTATAAATTATAAGGTGTAGTTTTAGTTAATATCAGTTAACTTAGATTAGTTTTTTTACACTTTGTCTTAACCTTTAAGTGATTGTTGCACTACACTCTTAAGTATAATTTATATAATGTTTCTGTTACATTACAATAAATATTTCGTGAAACGAAAAAAAGAAAAAATAATATAGAAATAATGTTTTGTGTGCGTAAGTGGTGTTACGGGAGATGCTCGCAACACCTGCGGCGCGCATCGATTATTCGCCGCCGGGCGTCGCGGCCCAACGGACGCGTCCACATTAGGCGCCTCGGCAGCGTCGGTGCGTGCGATGCGATTCGGAGCGCGTGCATCGGGGTCGCGTGCGCGCGTGTTTTCAAACTTGAGGGTGCCGCGGACTGTGATGTGGTAGCCGCCCAGGCCTCGAGATGGGCAACTCGTGCAGTTCGGGGCAGGCCCACAAGGACAAGGACAATGTATCGCAGCAGTCCGAGGAGTAAGTACCACACACCCGCGACGGGATCCCCACGCGGCGTTGAACGTAGGAGGGTTAAACGCCGAGGAGACAGATGGCGAAGGGAGATGACAAATCGATACGGACCACGCGCCAAAGGTCCCAGATGTCACAGACATACCGAGGCTCGTCAAATTCACATTTATGAAGTAATAACGGATATTGCGGTTGCAACAGATATCAAAATCGGAATATCTAACTTACTGTAGAACATTTGAGGTACTACAAACGCCCTAATCTACAATAGATATTAAATACCTAATATTTAATTTTGTTTAATATAGGCCCGTTTGAAGTTATACGAACGTATAAATCTAGCGATTGACAAATTTGATATGTCCAGAGATCATTTTGCAAAACGTCTCGCTATTACCCAAAACAAATATTTCATAGTATTTTAGTCTGTATTAGTTCTAAACTAGCTATTTTAGTTCTAAACTATCACAGGCTATGCTGCTTCTAATGATTGTGTGTTTTTTACTTTTTATTGTCACCGATGAAACTTATTATTATTAAAGATACACTCAATCTCGTCACTAATTGTGGCGAGGTCACGGTTTCTCTGACCTATTTCATCTCTTCCATCTCCGTACGTTGACGATAGATTTACGCAGTTACGGACGATTCTCTATCCCACCCTCCTCGAGTACGTTGCTCGTCTCTTCTAACACCCAAGTGTCGTGGTTCGTTGTCTTTTATTGAAATAGATATGAATATTTTAAAGATTGCTCGTCGACGGAAACATGGTGGTCGGATGAACGAATATTTAGAAAGAAAAAAAGAAAATACATTTATTTACCAAAAAAGGATGCGCGCAGCCAAAAATGAAACAAAAATTAAAATAAAAAATTTAAATGGAATTCTAAATTTGAAAGTTGGTAATGCGTCTGTCACTTCAGAGGAGTTGTAGAAGCCCATGGGCGGCAGTAATCACATCCAGTGAACCGCACTCTGCATAAAAAATACCAAAAGATACCTTTACGGTTGGCAGCCCATCAATGTACGTTTTTTATTAAATTTTAAATTTCCTACCACGCACGAATCAGGTATCGCTATATTTATGACTGGACTGATACGAATTGATGATCTTCAAGAAGACTACCTGAGGGAGTAACTTCTTTGCTGTTGTGACAATCCATGCGGCGGTGTCCACTTGAATCATGGTGTAGAACCATTGCCTACAGATCACCAATTCCTGTTATATCAATAAATCGGCTTCTGATTGAGCTGTTAATGTGATATTAAGTATGTTGATGAGTTTTTATTACTGCTATTTATATTTTAGTTTTGCAGATTCTAATACTAATCTATAGGCACGGCGACGTTTGTAATAGGGTCGAATTTCACCTCTTACATCTTTCGTATTACTTGCGCTAGTTTACATTTCCAAACTGTTTTCTCTACACTTAACAAATTGTCAAGTTTTGTCATTTTAGATTGTTTCAAACAAGAAGCATCTGAATGATGATATTTTCCTGTCATTGCACACTTAACCAAGTTTCAAGTTTTGTCGTTTTAGATTGTCTCTAACGCTTCTTGCATCTGAACGATGATATTTTCTAAATACAGGGTTATAGAGATGCAGCAATACTTTTTATTCATATAAATAATAACCAAATTCATAGTATTTCCTAGATGTCCATGACCCTACTACAGTTTGAAAATGTTATGTGCTCGCTATAATCTGTTTGTGTATGTGTGTCACAAAGCCTACTATTGCATGATTGGGCAGGAATATTTTGGGACGTAGTTTAGTTAAGGGTTCTATAAGAAATCGAAATAGTAATAATAGTTTTTTTTATGTTTACATTTAGTTTTTATTTAGTTTTAGTTTATGTTTACTTTACATTATACCAATCAAATAAACTGCTTGCTTCAAATGTGGTATCCGAGCTTTTGGAGAATGATTGGTACGCGTCTTACTACCCTGTATATTATAATTGTGTGCCCACCTTTTAACAAAATACTGCGTAAGTATTTGGTTTGTTGCACCTCAATACTTGCGTAAGTTATATCAGCGTGGCTTCTGAATGATAAATGTTGCCAACTTAAGCCGAAATCAAGTCAAAATCAAAGGAAAATCTAACACCGTTAATATCTGTTTTCATCTTTTGGCCTTTTCGCTATTTAATATTTGTGAAAAGCTTTAGTTTTCGAAACGATCGAGGTTACTTTCCGAGAAAAGTTTTGAATTTCAAAGAGAAGAAAAGCGAATCGTTAAAATAGAGATTTGTGCATGCAAGTTGTGAAGTTACCGAACTTACATGCAGTTCAACATACAGTGGCACTACACACACGAACACATACATTATTGTGTAGGTAAACACACATGAGTATTAATTTCAGTAATCCTTAATTGTTGTCGATTCATTATAAAATTGTCAGTACAATTTGCTCAATCGGTAATGTGTTGGATTATCGATGAATAAATGAATAAATAATGTCAGAATTGGGCGCCTCGGTGCCAGATTTCGGCGGCCATGGATGTCATTTTAATAACACTGGCCGTATATCATATTAACAATAACAGCCGGCGACTATTGTGCCAATTTCGCGTTGCATTCCGACTAGAGTGTTTAAAATTCTGCATCTTGAGATTTTGGCAACGTCTCCACTGGACAATATACTTTTTTTTATACTGGAGAATTTAAAAATTTACCTTATGCCAGTACCGCGTCGCTTCTGGGAGATAAGCTAGAGATTTTTTGTCATTTCGAGTCCCAATTTTAAGTTTAGATTTGTAATATTTGTATTTATATATAAACGTTGTACATCGTGTCGTCTTCCCTTGATATTTTTCATTTTCATTTTTTTCTTTTTTAAAACGTAGCCCTTAATTTTAGGATATCATTATTCTGTGTGGTAAGGACGTTTTACAAACATATTTAACACATTTCACGTAGACAAACACCCAGATGGGAAACAACTATCTTTGGATCACACAAATAGTTGTCCCGTGTGGGGATCGAACCCACGACCTCCGACGCCGAAGTCAATACCTTGGCAACTGCGCCATGAAGTAATCATATCATCAGGATATGTATCAAAAATATTTCCTTTCAGAACAACCAATTCATTATTCTGAAAGAGGATTATTATAACAATGGGGTTGCACCATCAGATATGTTAATTTTCCATTTAATAACCAGTTACGTAGATTGTCGGCGTTGTTTTTAATTATAATAATTGGTTCCTACTACTACCGCGGTACTATCGGAAGGCTATGCGTGTAAGGCAATATGCGGGTATGATGACGTTTTCAAACATACACCCCATTTTGATTTTCGTTCTAATACGTAAATGTGTACAGCTTACGGAATGTTCCCACGGGCGCACGGGCCTCTTTGTTCAACTAACTAAGATGGAGCGTAAAAAGGCAAATAGAGAGACATAAAGAAGAAAGTTTTCAAAGTACTGCCGGGTCCGCTAATTTGTCTACTGTTATTGTCACACACATTAGTCTGAAGTTGTCACACATAGAGCACATTACGAAAGGACTATAATTTTCCAAACTCAGAGTAAGGGTGAAATTCATTCTTCTTTCTTCTTATGTTTGCTCTACACGCTGGTTGCGCTCAAATTACCGGAAATGCTCATGCATACCATCCATTCTGTCGAATTACTATTTTAGGTATAGAGCAGAAAACACTTTCTCCACGAGCCAGCCGCCTCCTTCAGCGGGTGTTCTCAAGGTTCCCACCTCTCTCCCTTGTTCAGTATATAATCTTATATAAATCAATATACGAACCTGAATACGATCCTAGGTGCCGGCAGCAATTAAATTGTTAATTTTAAGTGCTGACTTATCTCCTGCTCAGCGGTGAAGGAAAACATCATGAACAAACCTGCACATTTTCGAAATAATGACAAAAATCTATATGTAATGTCAAAACACAAGTTCCCGCCTTTAAGGTATCGCCATTCGAATCGGGTTTATAGAAATAGATATTTGCTATGCATGTGTAAGGAAATATACATTAATTGATATATATGCGACTATCTAGTTTACCGCCACGCGTGTATAAACAAAAATAAGAAACATTTATATTTTTATTACTTTTCATTCAATAATGGTGGTGAAGAGAACATTGTGAGGAAACGTGTAAACACCATTTATCCCTTGTCCAGAAGAAACGTTTGCCCATCAATGGGGCATATTAAAAATATACATGTAAACATTAGTGAATACCAGCCCAGTTGAAAGTGTCAAACTGTAAAACAGAAGCTTATTTATTTCGCAGTTGCTCGAATTTAAAGTGACGCCCAGCAAAATTAAGAAAATTTATATTACGCAAGTATAGCCATAAATAATAATATCAAACGGGTTCTCAAGATACTAAGATAATGTCTCAAGATACCCGATACGACGGCCCACACAATTGGGACAATTACTTCTTGGTCGACATTAAACTCCTCATTTACGACTTCGAATTCTCTTGTTGTTGTTTATTTACTCCAATTACCCATACCTCGATGTACAATCCAATACAATCATTCACGTCCGCGGCTTCGCAAATCTCAAATGACCGCGGACCGCTGAAACCGCGCCGTGAGGCCGGATTTTTACAACTCATTACGAGAGAAAAATCTAATAAATACTCGCAACATTCCCCGCCTCTGGCCGCACGCCAAGTGCTGAGGAATAAAATAATACCGAGAGTGATATTGGACCGGTGATCCGGCGGGATTGTTTGTTTTGCGGCCGTGACGCTTTAAAAACTTTTTTTTAAATTAGCCTCTTTCCAACCAGCATTCGGATTTTAAATGTGTCTTCACGTTGTTGAAAAAATAGAAGGAGTTCATGGAATTTTTTATGGAACGAAGTTCCTTAGCGCAGCTTGCGGGATGTGGGGGGGGGGGGGGGGGGGTAATATTAATTGTTTATGATTTCTTTACCATTCCCTGCATTTTTTCTTTTTCAATAACTAAATCTCATACGCCGTTTATTAATTTCATTTTGTCCGTATTTATTACACATACAGCGTTAGGAACTTCATTCCGACTTGAATTGGCACTACACTACACTTGGCGTTCTTAATTAATTGCATTTTAAATTGTTATATTAACGCGAATAAAGAATTTTAGAAATGGCGAAAAAGCACTGGTGATGTTGAAAATC